CAGATGGTGTTTGGAGGTTCAGAGACTTTCAAAAAGCATTTTCATGATCATGCTTAGAGGATGAGGGGGTATGTACTGAAAGGTTTCATTTCAAGAAACCTTTAAAGGAGGAATAATTGACAGAGCAACCCAATATGCAGCTGGATGGGATCATTCTCTGGGGGAAAATCACCTGAGTTCTGATAATATTGGTGTCCATGAAGAAATGCATTTGCTATTCTTTTGTAACACTTTTGCAGTAATGTGCAATATATGTGCATATGTAACTAGTTGGGTTGATTGACAGTTAGCACTTTAAAAGGAACATTACAAACCTTTATGTGTTTACTCTGTTAAGTCTCATGGAATTCATTGATTAGATTCTCAGATAAATGAGTGTAAAATTGCAATCCAAAAGTAGTAAATTCTTTCTTTTCACAGCAAAAGACCAAATAGTAAGCTTGTAAACTGGCCTACTTTAAATCTCTACAGGCGAAGAATGACTTCTTATCATGTACAGAGTGAGATTATCCTGTCGTCTCTCTGAAATAATAATAATAACAACAACAACTATTAGTATTATTATTTATAAAGGCAGAGCAGAGTAGAACTCTTTGGAAAGTGACTGTGAAGAATTAGCAGCCTTATGTTGAAGATCTCCAAAACGTTGGGGAAGTCCAGGGAATCAGAGCAGAGGGTCATTTGCTCCAGAAAAACCTGCTTTCTGTACAAATTGATAAATACATATATCCAAGAATAATTGCTGACTTTTTATTAGGGTTTCCTGGATTGTGCTCCCATTTTCTGGGATAATTTAGATGGCACTATTTAAATTACCTCAGTTTTTGCATTTTTATTTCTCCAATATAACAGTACAGTATACTGTTATACTGAAGAAATACAGTATCAAGACAGTATAACATGTAAAGGTCCCATGGCTTTTACATAATGGGATAATGGTGGATACCATATGAGACACTGTCTGAAAGGTAGATGGTGCTAGTGGAAACTACTAAGTTGTCCAAAGCATGAGGCAGGACTAAGGTGAGAAAACCCAGAGGATTTCTGAGGGAGATGACTTAGGTCAGTGGTGGCGAACCTATGGCACGGGTGCCAGAGGCGGCACTCAGAGCCCTCTCTGTGGGCACGTGCACCGTCGCCCCAGTTCTAAGCCTTCAGCTGGGTTTTATAAAACCTTTTCGCTTTAGGCCTCCGCCGCCGTGTCCCCCCCCCAAAAAAAGGTTCAATCAGTGAATTTCAACTTCTCACGGGAAAGAAAAAGATCTCGCAAAGTTGGAATTGATAGAACTTTTTAGTCCCACCCAGTCTGCCATTACCACCGCAGCCACACCCATTCAACGGGCCACGCCCACCCATCACTCGACGATGCATAAGTGGGTTTTGGATTGCAGTTTGGGCACTCAGTCTCTAAAATTTTACACATGGGGTAATAAGCTTAGTTTCTCATGTTTTCCCTAACATGATCATGGAGTAAATCCAGAGAGAAAAGAAACAAAGGTTAGTTGAGAAGAATAAGAGAATGCTATTTTCCTTTTTATGTCATCTAAGACTTATGTGTTAATCATTCACCTTTCCCATATTACTTTTTCAAAAGTGTTTGTTTTTATTAAACACATTAATTTTGAAACTGATCTATTGCAGGTAGAAGAATGTGCTTCTTGAAAGAAAGGTGGTCATATTACCTTTCACACAGACGTGAAGTTGTAGTTGTACTTGGATGTACTTGTAGTTGTAAATGGATGTAATTTGGCACATATTATTTCTATGGCAGAGGTTCTCAATCTGCCTCTCTGAAATTTGATTTGAATTCTTCCCATCCTCCCCCCCCCAAACCTCCTGGCTTTAACGTTACCCATTGAGAAGAAGTTTTAATATGCCTGAAATTCTTGAAGTATGGGAATTCTCTCAGAAACTCAGACCTACACATAGTAAGGGAAGTGAGTTTTATGTATGGTTCCATCTCAGACCTCTAAATGCAGTATGTTAAAATATGGAAATCAACTGTTTTGTCAACAAAATTACGATCATTTTATGAAATGAAAAAGAACATAGCTCAGTGATGTTAATGGGGAGAATTATGGCAATTAGTCTTGTGGCAAGATGGTGAGGCTGAAGGGATCAGCAGAGGGAAGGGAGAGCTCTAATCACAATTTGTATAACTGATCTCTCACTTTAGGTATGGGTGAACTTGCCTCAGGACTCTATTTTCCTTGGGCTGATAGCTTTTTCTGCTAAGAAGCATTAGTTTAATTACAAAGTGGATTCCATGTCTATGCTGCTGAAGACTGGAGTTTTTCATCCACTAAAACGTAGCTGTTTTTATTCTTATTCTCAGTTTTATTGTGTTACCTAACTCTTCCCATCTGTTCCTGAGAGAAAGCAAAAGAAGAATGGCTTATGTAACCAATAACTAATGAAATCTTCTCCAAAGTATGATCCCCGAGACATTGTGAGCTGACTCTAACACAATTATTCGAAAAGAATTTGTGGTTTTCTCTTGTAGAATAGAAAGTACTCAGTTCTTGCTCAGAACCAGACAATGTAAACACGTGCTTCCTTTCAAAGCTGCATGGTCCTGGTAATGCCGTGTGGCTATGCATTTGAGAGACTGAAGACCAGCTGGGCTGAAACAGCTAAAAGTCTAAGTGATTTAGACTGAAGAAATTGCTGGAAAATTCCAATCTGATAGCACAAGGGGGAATATGTGGAGCTAAAATAAGGATGATGTAGGAGGAGGAGAATGACCAAGACAGGAGGGAGAGAATCCTGAATGTAGTAAAAGCTGAGGGATGCTTAAATGTAGGTGATAGTATCTGATAAGAATATTCTGTGGTGCCCTTCCTATCAAGAATATTTGACTCCTTAATTGACAGCTTCTGTAAAAATTAGAGAGAACAAATATGAATAAGTCAGGTTCTAAAACCTACCTGAAGTTCTTTGGTCAACTTTGGGGAGGGGGCAGTCAGTCCCTTTTTTTTAGGGGCAATTCTTTGTGAACCATCTCAAGGCTCCTGAGATGATAGGCAGAATATAAAAATATGACATATTAATTAACAGAAATGTTAATACAAATATCTTAATAATTGAGGTGCTTTATGATGCATAAACTCAGGAACTTTAGGGAAAATATTAGAGACAGATTATGAAAACTAGTTATTTTGTTAGAATTATATTGTTCTGTAAACTTATAAGCAGCTTAGATACATTTGATTGAAGATATACAGCAATGTAGAATAAACATGTACCTTAGACCAAAACACTTAACTCTGGAAAAGAGAAAAATACTGAAGGGAGCATTCTGAAATTTCACTCTAGAGACCTTGGAAAGAATAAAGTAATCTTTAACAGGTATGACTTTATAAACAGTAAGGTGGATATGTAGAGAACATTTGCTTTGGTGTTTTCCCCTCCTGAAACATTTTGTTCAAATGGTCTGCTTGAATTTCTCCTTTTCTTTCTTTAGGGCTTTGGCTGTGTATAAGTAGGTAGCTATAAAAACTAAAGGAATGAATAAAAAGGTTCCTATTTTGACCTCCTTTTTCTTCACTGTATCATTTCAGATCAGCTCTGTAGTGCAGGAGCCTATGATGGAAATAGTTCATTGCTTTAGACTGAGGTTCCAACATTCTTGCTGTCAGCCAATTTGCTGAAGTTAAGAGGAATTGAATCCAAAACATTTGGAAAGCACACCGTTGCCTGTTTTAGGATAAGGATTTTTAGACTACATTTATTCTTATATGGTATGTTAAGGCCACATAAAAATGAGCCACTAGGGCAGGGGTCTGCAACCTTGAGAACTTTAAGACTTGTGGACTTCAGCTCCCAGAATTCTTAAAGATGTCAAGGATGCAAACCCCTGCACTAGGGGAAAGTGTCCTGGGCTAAAGTAATAATTGGGGAGTAATAAATTCAGTAAAAGAATAATTAAAATATTCTTCCTCTTACATTGACCAAAACCTTTGAAGAAAGATGTGAAATTGTTAGCAGATGAGCGCTCTTATTTCTTTGCCATTATCTTCCCCATTGCCCATGGATGAACTGTTCAGCTGTTCTGAAGTACATATCCATAAATAGCCATTATCTCATCTAGTGAGGCTTTTGAAAATAAAACAAAATCCATTTTGATCAATTCTAAATATTTCTGAAGTTTCATGGATGAATTGCATATAAATGCGTACAATTCTGTGTATTTTTCATTCTCAATTTTTTTCTAGCTTATCGTTCTTTTAAATTATTGAAGACTTTGTACAGGAGATTTGTTGCTAAAGTTTGATGACAAATGAGGAGGGAGCTATGAAAGCTTACTAAAGCCTTGCATAGTCTGTTTATTTGTCAAGAAAATGTCTGTATTATGAAAACAGCTACCCAGTAAATATAATTACTTAAGCCACTGTTCAGGTCATTTGTACCGTTACCTTTATAGTTTATACTATGGGTAGTCATTGAGCCATATTTTTCTATCACATCAACCTTGGCCTTGGGATAATTTTGAAGAGATGTTTGCACTCCACTAAGATAGTAGTGCTTATTTCTACTAGTTCTTATGAGTGTCATATATTGTGAAATGCTACATTTGTCATTCTGTACACCGAGTACACTTCTTTTGTCATTCTGTACAATGAATACCCTCCTTATTGGCATTTGGTTTGAAACACCAGCACAGATTTATCCACCTTGCCCCCTACTTTTACTCTTAAGGAACCCTACTTTTTAAGTAGGAAGATTCTCCCTGAAGTTTATCTATTTTAAATAGTGGCATCTTGGTCTTCTTATAAATTCCAGGATAAGGTGGTTATACAATAATAATTTGGAAATGTTGCACTCTGTGTGTATTAACAAGCTTGTTCCTGAATATATTGCTCTATTTTTAAAATAGATGCTCCTCTTTAAGGCTTCTTAAGTAGTCTGCTGGAATTCATATATTCCATGATACATACCGATGAGCTGTCATGTGAAGTGTCCTGTTCTAACTCTCTTTGTTTTTCTTGTTTTCCCTGCAGATTACCATTATCTTTAAATCCTACCAAGACTGTACAGATCAGAAGGTGTATCAGGCAGTAACCGATGATTTGCCAGCAGCTTTTGTAGATGGCACTACTAGTGGTGGAGATGGAGACCCCAAAAGCTTGCGCATTGTGGAAAGAGTGAGTGGCAAATACGTGGAAATGCATGCTAGGTACATTGGAACTACCGTGTTTGTGCGCCAGCTTGGCCGTTACTTAACACTATCCATTCGCATGCCAGAAGAGCTAGCCCTGGCTTATGAGGAGAGCCAGGACCTGCAGCTCTGTGTGAACGGCTGTCCCTCCAGTGAACGTATTGATGACAGCGGGCATCTTCCTTTACCAGTGATGGGGCAGCTTCTTCCTTCTGGGGTTTCAAGTCACACCCGTTCTGTATATACACTGGAGACTGCAACCACCAAGTGCCATGAGAAGATGCTGCTGAAGGACATCTACTTTCATTCTTGTGTGTTTGATTTACTCACCACTGGTGACGCCAATTTCACAGCTGCTGCACACAGTGCCTTGCAGGATGTTGAGGCGCTGCATCCGAGGAAGGAGAGATGGCACATCTTCCCCAACAATGAAGGCAGTGTTCAGAGGGCAAAATTTGGACTTGGACTTGTAGGCTTTCTGCTTCTTGTGTTTTTGTAGGATTCTCCCCTCTCTGATGGTTGTTGTAGAGAACAAAGTTTTAAAATATATATTGTCATAATATATTAAGAACATATATGTATATACCGTGTATATGAAGGGATGCTTTTTTGTCCTGGGACATCCAGAGGATTGTATATAATTGTGTTCTCCTTTTTCCTACTGTATGTTGGATGTAATATTCTTTTGATTGTAATATTTTTTGCTTTGCAGTTGGTGAAACATTTTATAATGTCCTCTCATCAGGACCTAATAGAAAGCACTTTATTTTTTATATATTAACTATTTATGTGTACCTAGGTAATATGTAAAGCATATATCCATCTGTACATATATCATACCCAGTATGCCCTCTAAGTATTGCCTAGCTTAATTCGTACACTTATAAGTTTTATTTGATTCCTTTTCTTCCATTCTTTTGGCCAGTTAAGACAACACAAGAATCTAGCTAGGTAGATAATGTAGACATAGGTCTAGGACAAGCCTAGGACCTTCCATTGGACGGACCCTGGGCCAGTAGCCTCCATTTCATAGGAATGCAGCAATTATTGGCCATCAATCTTCAGATTTAGTGCATTCACAACTGCATCTTATTGTTTACTGATGCAGCAAATCTCTGCTTCCTTCCAAGAATTGCTTTTTAGCATTGAAAATTGTACTTGAGTTCTAATGTGCAAGTACAAAACGTAAGTTTTCTATGAATTTCGCAAAGGACATGCATAGAAAACTGTGTCTCTTTTCTTTCCAGATGTATATGAATGAGGCCTAAAGACTTTCCAGAGCTTTTTTGGGAGGCTAGGCCTCAAATCTCTTTCATAATTATATGGATCTCTTCAAGTGGTTTGTATTAAATGTTGTACCCTAAGATAGTGGTAGGCCTTAATTGCTTAATTTTACTCCTAAACATTTTTGCAACAACAACTAATCATAAAAATTGGTAATGAGCATAATTTTTGAATTGTCTGAAAAGAAAGGTAGAAAATTAAGAAAATGGATATTGCTCAGGAGGTTAGGATTACTTAATTATCATCCCTTTGCCAATTTTAGCAAGTTGCTCAACTGCAAGATCATCCTCTGCATTGGTCTGCTAAGTACAGACATACACAAACAATATTTTGAATGTGTAAAAAGACTGGCAGATTTATTGTGACATCAGTTTTGATGGATTACAATCTATTATATGAAGCAAAATGCCATTTCCCCCTCCCCCCCCCTTTTGTGTAACTGAGGAGACTGTATAAGTGTTCCATACTTACAGTGTTTTATTTCCTGTGTTAACATAATTCCTTCTAACACTTGCTAGAATTGTTGCACTAAGGTCCTTAAAGTATACTCTAGATACAGAGAAATCTATATAAAAATTCACAGCCAGCTGAACAAGCATTTCTTACTCTCTTATTAGCAGAATATCATTTCCCATGCTGGCAACTAGGCTGACAACAAGCCTGCTTCAGATCATTTCAGCTTTAGCTATACTTAATGAAGAGCAATCAGCAAAACAAAGCATTGTGCTAGGAAGGCATGGTGGTTCCTTGGACTGTAATAGTAGATGCTCTTTAGGACTGGTGATTGATCTGGCAATCGGTTGTTATGTCTCAAGCAGGGCTTTTACCCAGCATTTGAGACTGGAAGTGTCAAAGATTGAAGCTGCCACCATCCTCGTGTGCCTGGATTAGTTGCATATGTGCTTAGTAACTTCCATTGTAGTGGAAAAGCATTGGTTTGTAATACTGATTGGAACTCTATCCTAGTTATGCATTGATATTTCTAGCTTGCTTGACTTGGATTCATGTCATGCAAATTCTTGTTGATCTTGAGTAAATCCTTCCTTCCTGTTTTAAAGTGACAGCACCATAGTAGTTTAAGCTTTTACTTAAAAATCACCAAATGCAAGCAAAATTGCTTGCTAGTTTGTATATTCAAAATGTGCCTGATCTCAGAGTGTCAGGATGAACTTGAGGTTCAGGTTTGTGACCCAAGTATATGACTTAATTTTTGCAGCTACGAAATCTTTAAAATTCTGCCTTTGGTCAGTTGTTAAGGCAATACAGAATATGAAGCCAACCTTACTGTATTTCTCCTCCCCCTGTCCCCTTTCCGGTCTTGTATGGAGAGAAACATGATGGTCTTAGAATAGTTGAATTTTTTCATATTTTTATGTGCCAAGTGAAAAGGTATTTGTGGAAGAAGTCTGGTTAGACAAGTCTAGAGTTGTAGCTACAATGTGAGCCCATTGTAAGTAACAGGTGTATGCTAATTTTCTGCATTCCCAAACCCCCATGAAATGTACACACATGCGTGTGTTGACAAACATACACAACAAATAACTAAAAACTAAGGAATCCAGAGATAAATCATATTTTGGAAAAGGTGGCATTGGAAATGCTTTTCCCTTCTTGTCCTAACTCTGGGCTTTTTTTTAAGAAAATGTTATTCGCACATGTTGGTTCTTAAAAGTCCACCATAGCCAAGAGAACTTTAGTCAATGCCAAACATATAGATAGCTTGAAGCTAGTGAATGGTCTCTGGAGAAAACATATACTTAGAGGGAACACTGGTTTTCATAGATAACTCCAATCGACTGTCTCTTTTAGAAGGCTTCAGACATGCTTGGGAAGAAGAATACAAAATAAAACCCACAGTATGACCAATATTTTGCAGACCATTTTAGATGTGCTTCATGGCTATACTATTAAGTATATGTTTGTGTGAAAAAGAAAAGTGACCGTGCAGTGTATACTTTAAATTATGATAGAATAATAAAGTTACATATCATGCTGTGGAATGTTTGTGCCATTACTGACCCCTGCTGGTTGCCAGTATATAATAGTTGACTAGTAATGTAACTAAAGGTGTGTTCCAATCAAATCCAACCAATCTCCAAATTTTGAGAAGAAAGTGCAGTGCCTGAAACCAAAGCAACAGCTTATTGAGATGAGACTAAAGCCCCACAGAGCAATTAAGTGAACAGTGGAGCTTCATGAATAATGTAATGGTTTGGGGTACCGCAGACAGCCAGACGCTGTGTCTGCAAATGCCAGCTACGTTCTTCCATAAAAATCAGGATAGGGAGTGGAAGAGGCATGGATTCAACTGTGATTGGCAAGTCCATTTACTAATTGCAGGATTAATGCCAATGTTGGAAGAGCTCTGTAGAAGGTGTTTTGTGGGGGATGGAGGGTGGAGAGAGTATCAATCACACGGATTGATTTCTTTGGAGAAATAAATTGCCTGGGGTTTTAGGCAAGGAGGGTGAGGAACGCCCATTGTGATGAACCACTGTGTTTTCCCAAAAGTAAGGCTTACCCCGAAAATAAGCCCTAGCTTGATTTTTGCAGGTGAGCCTAATATAAGCCCTACCCCTAAAAGAAGCCTGAGTTTTAGAGCCAGGCGCACGCCTAACAATCAAGCTAGGGCAGGGGTGGGGGGTGGAGCTGCCCCACGCACCCTGCACCCACTTACTGTTGCAGCCGGACCTCCCATGAATTGACACCTACCTCATTGGCCCACTTATGCAGCACCCCCTGGGCTGCATTTTGCTGTCAGAGGCCTTCAAGAAACGCCTCTGCAGCTGAAAATGGAGCTCTGGATTCCCCCTGGCCTGCATTTCTCCATCAGAGGCCTTCTGGAAAGGCCTCTGCAGTCGAGAACCGAGCTATGGGTTCAATCCATAGCTCACTTCTTGGCTGCAGAAGTCTTTCTGGAAGTCCTCTGATGGTGAAATGCAGGCTGGAGCTCCATTCTCAGCTGCAGAGGCATTTCCTTCAGCGCAGAAGAGGGCCGGCTGGGTGGGGTTGTTGGTGCCACCTCCACGAGGTGAGACTGGAAAAAATACCTCTTAAAAAAAAGACCTTGTGTCTCTTTTGGAGGCCAAAAAAAAAAAAAGACGGGGTCTTATTTTCGGGAAAACATGGTAGTTCTTTCAAAGGGGCTTTAGAGCAGTGGTTCTCAACCTGTGGGTCGGGACCCCATTTGGGGTCGATTGACCATTTCACGGGGGTCGCCAAGCAAGGCTGTCCGCCATTTTTTTTATCCATTTTTTTCCCCTTTTCCGGCGGGTGCCTTACCTCCCTTGGGCCGGGCCAGCTGGTGGTCGGCCTGCTCCGTCTCTGCCGCTTGCCAGCTACGCCTCGGCCGGCGCAGGGGGCGGAACCACGCATGCGCGGCGCTCCCGGGCAGGGAAAGTCCTCAACTTACGACCGATTGGGTAGTCCTCGACTTACGACCGGTTTAGTCCTCGACTTACGACCGGTTGGGGTCACGGCATTAAAAAGGTTGAGAACCACTGCTTTAGAGGATCACTCTGTCTCTAAGATGAGCTTTAACCTATGATGAACTTTAGCTGAATGATGCTTATAGAAACTGCTCAAAATATTCGCTTGAATTGTGCCCTTGAAGCAAGTGTTAAAGGATTTCACCTTTCTGTAGCATGTTGAAATATTCTACTGTTGCTTTTGTCCTAACACTTGCTGAAAATTGTTTTTTTTTTTTAAAGCCAATAAGCAGTAACAGGTCAATAGTTCATTGTCTATCGGTATGATAATCTTTTTTTAACAAAACAAAACCTTACCATAAGAATTTCCTTTACACAAAAATGCCTGAACTTGAATGTAATTTAACAACTGTCTTGATTGTGGTTTTCTTTTTAACTTTTTCTTTTCTTTCTTTTCGAAGGTTCCAAAACTTGTCGCTTTCTTTTCAGTTAGATAATTTTCGTACTTTCACAGGCGCTTAATGTTCATTCAAATGAGTATGCTCCCAAGATTGACAATTTTGGGGTTTTGCAAGCTACTTAATGAGAGCTAGACTTCTTGCCTTGGATTGGACAAGCCACCTTTGAATTGTTCCAAGCCCAAATAAAGCTCTTACTCAAAGCCTAATTCACTAGCCAGTGGAATTTTGCAGCCAGCAAAACAGACACAAGTTGACTCAATCAATATATGATAGTATTTTTGATAGGTAGAAAGCAACTCATGGCTCTGCTCACAAGCATCAACTCTGAAGGGCACATGACGGAATCTAGGCCCTTCGGAACCATAA